CGGCCAAGCTGCCTACGAAGCGACAGTGCGTCGCCCCCTCCGACTCACAAGGCGAGGCCCTTGGCGCTAGCTCGAGCGGCCGGGATGCTACATCTCCCCGTATCTCCCCGCCTCTCCCCACATCTCGAGCGGCCGGGATGCCGTGAGCGGCGCTGGTCAAAGAACGAGCCCGTCATCGGAAAGGTGGCCGCCATCTGGTCGAGCGATGGCGGTGGCAGCCGAGCCAGCTTGGCAACCTGTGAGTCGGCATTGGCCAACCAACTCCCACTACCAGCCTCCCAACCCGAGGTGCCCGTTTTGAGTGATTTGGCGTGGCTCGCCTGGTGCGCGAGCACGGGCGCCGCGGAGAGCACGACCAGCTTGCGGCGCACCTGACGCGCGGAGGAGACATGAGCCGAGATGCGCCGAGATGCGCCGAGGGTGAGAGCTGATATGAGCCGAGGGCGACCAAGGTGAGCCGAGGGTGAGCCGAGGGGGAGCCGAGAGTGAGCTGAGAGAGAGCACGACCAGCTTGCGGCGCACCGGGTGGTCGCGCGGCACGGAGAACGGGACCGAGTTTGTCACGACCACCTGAGGAAGCGATAGGAAGCGATGAGCCCGTCACTCGCACTGGATCACTTGGGCGGGCGGGGCCCGAGGTTGGCCACGACCACCGTCGTCACGTCGGAGACGGCGATGATGCGGAGCGACTCCTCCGAGAAGATGCCGTGGGTGGCGACGGCGAAGACTCGGGCAGCGCCCGCCTCGAGCAACGCCTCGGAGCAGCGTGCGATTGTCTTTCCCGAGTCGATGATGTCGTCGACGATGATCGCGTCCTGCCCTCGCACCTCCCCGATGAGCTCCAGGTGCCTGATTATCCAAGCAGGCATGGCCTCACACCGACGCGTGCAATCGCGGAACCCCCGACGACCTCCAGGCGCCTCCGCTCGCTCCCAGACGCCTTGTGTGGCAGCAGCATCGCCAGCGTCGGCGCAGCGCCCGCTCTCGGAGAAGCGAAGCGCGAGCCTCCTTCGCCCGACGCGTGCAGCTCCGCGAGCGAGTCGAAGAAGGCCTTTGCGAGCGTCACGCCGGACGCGTGCGGCGCGACGACCACCGGCCGCCGAAGTTGGCGCTGCGTGTGCAGGTAGCGCGCGGCGGCGGGCTGGCACGAGGCGGAGGCAAAGTGGCAGCGCGGCGAGAAGAAGCCGGCGATCTCCTCCTTGTGCAGGTCGAGCGTGAGCACGCCGTCGACGCCCATCTCCTCCAGCAGCGACGCAACGTCCGCCGCCGAGATGGGAACGCGCGACGTGTGCTTGCGCGCCTGCCGCCCGTACGCGTAGTACGGCAGCACTGCGGTGATGCGCGCGGCGCTCGCGCGGCGCAGGCCGGAGACGATGAGCGAGAGCTCCACGAAGAAGCGGTTGACGCCCGCGCCGCCCAGGCACGCCACCACGTACGTGTCGCGCAGCCGCACGTTGCATGGCAGGCGGAGGTGCGTTTCGCCGTCGGCGTCCTCCGCGTCAATGGCGGCGGGCGGAATGCCGAGGATGCCGCCTATCTCGTCGGTGAGGGACTCAGCGCCAGTGGCGGCGATGAGGACAATGTCGGAGGGCTCCGCCATGTAAAGATGTGAGCCCTGCCCCGTCTTAGCCAGCCGGCCGTCTCGCCCCCCCCCCCCCCCCCCCTTCACCACCGCCCCTCCTTCCAAAGCCCACCCTCGCCCTGCCACCGAGCACAACGCTGCTTGCTGTGGGTTCGAGCTCTTAGCTGTACGGGGCTGGTCCCTCACTTTCCTACCTACTACCTACCTGTGTGAGAGAGAGAGATTTTTAAAGACCAACAAGAAATCACGACTTTCACAGTTCTTCTCCTGTGTGTGAGACACACACAAGGGGGCTAATGCCTAGCTAGATATAGCTAGGAGTTTAAATCCTTTTCTGCAGATTTTGGCGCGATATGCATTCAACCTCTGCATTCACCCCCACTCCGGGTAGGAGCCCGAACATTGCTGCGACTCGCAATTGCAGTGATTTGGGCTCGGCAGCTTGTTTGTTAGCCCTCAGCCGAACAATTGCATGCACCTGCACCTGCACATGTCCATGCACATGAGAGAGATTTTTAGCAATACCAAACAAATCAAGAGAGAGAATCTCTCTCTGAACAAATCTAACACTTGTTTTGTTTGTTGCCGTTGCACATGTGGACATGACATCCTCAACAAAACCTCGCGGAACCCCATGCGGGACCAGGAGGGTGCGATGACGTGAATGAAATCAAGCTCTGGACGCCCCTCCTCAAGACCTCCTCGCCGGGCGTTGGCAACGCCTCGAGTGGCGGCACGCCCGCCTCCGTTGGCCACTCCTACGCCTTTGGTAACACCGAAGAGAAGGCCCGCCGCCTAAACATGGGCTGCAAGGCGCGCGGGCAGCCCGGCCAACCCTTCTCCCACAAGACCGGCCACGGCTACGTCAAGGCGCATCGCGGTTTCTACCACGACGCGATCTTTGTCAAGCGCAACAACTTCAACCTGCTGCTCCACGAGACGTTCGGCGGCGGCTTCTCGCCCACCGCCGTTCTCAAACTGCGCCGCCTCGCGCGCAAAGTCGCGCGCGGCAGCGTCGACCGCACGGCCTGCTCGCCCAAGTACTCGCTCTCTTTTATGTCCCACCATGCAGAGCGCATCTCTCTCTCTGTTGTGCGAGGCGTGAACCGCGCCATTCGCTCTCACCTGGCAACCCTGTCTGCACGTCTCGCGCGCGCGTGAACAGGGCTCCAGGCCCCAAATGACGTGTGAGTGTTAGATTTGTTTGGTATTGCTAAAAATCTCTCTCTCTCTCTGACATCCTCAAAGAACTGGAATTTTCTGAAGTTGCTTCTTGTTGCCGACGAGCACCCCCTCAGTGGATAGGCCGCTCGGTGGCGCGGCAGCAACATCAGTGTCGGCGCCGTCGGCGCTTGCGTCGATGGCCGACTGTGAAGTGCCAAGGACGGCATCCCCATCGTATGGGACAGTAAGGAGTGTTGAGCGTGACATGGATGAAAGGAAGCAGGTCAGTGAAGCAGGTGAGACGCTTTGGAACGTCCTGCTTAGCGACTCAACAAAGTGCGACGCCCTCGAGCACCCGGCTCTATTGCCAGCAGATATCCAGCCCCGATGAACACCCACACGACCCTCTCTGCACCGCCAACCGCCGAGCGGCGGCGACGGCCAGCAGCTCCCGACTCCTCCGGCGTGGGCGCTCCCTTGGCCTCCACGTCAACTTCCTTCGCCGGTTACGAGATTGACTGGCAGCGCAAGCTCGGCTCTGGTTCGTTCGGCGCGACATACGCCGTCCGTGGCGACGACTCTGTGGCCGTCAAGGTCCTGAACCACAAGGCGACCAAGCCTGAGATGGTCAAAATCGTGCGCGAGTGCGCCTGCCTCGAGCGGCTCGACCACCCCAGCGTCATCTCAGTGCTCGCCCACGGGCGCGTCGGCACGGCTCTGTACTGCATCGTGATGGAGCGGTGCGCCGGCGGCGAGCTCTTTGACCTCGTCAGCTCCTTGCCGCTGCCGCCCGAGCACACCGCTCGCCGCATCTTTTGCGAGCTCCTCGACGCCGTCGGCCACTGTCACTCGCGCGGCATCGCCCACCGCGACATCAAGCTCGAGAACGTGCTCCTCACCGAGAGCGGCGCCGTGAAGCTCATCGACTTTGGCCTCGCACACCAGTACGATCCGGCGCACGCAGGAGGCTGGGACCGGTCGACTCTGCTCACCGAGGTTGTCGGCTCGCAAAACTACGCCGCGCCCGAGGTGTCGGCCGGCTGCGGGTACGATGGCTTCCGGGCGGACATGTGGAGCAGTGGCGTCGTCCTCTACACGCTCCTCGCAGGCACCTTCCCGTACCACGAGTGCATAGCTCCTGTCGAGGTGGACGTGGAGGGCCTGCCGGCAGAGGCGGTCGGCCTAGTAAAGGCGCTGCTCGAAGCGGATCCGGCGCGTCGCCCGACGGCCAGCGTTGCGAGGCGCCACGGCTGGTGCACGGGCGCCGGGGGCGGCTTTGGCGCGGCGGACGAGAGCAGTGACGGCCTTGAGAGCCTCGCGCTCGACTCGTACCTGGCGACGCTCGATACGGAGAGCCTGGGGGTGGAGGACGCCGGCGCGCTCTGGGCGCTCGCGGCGCTGGAGGAGGGAGGGACGGGCGAGGAGATGAGCAAGGAGGAGGTCGAGCGGCGGCCCGAGCGTTCGTGCGGCTTTGGCAGCAGCGACACCTCGCGCAAGCGGCGGCGCGTGGATCCTCGGCCATCCCTTCTCGAGAGCGGCTTCCGTCCCGCACACGTCTTGATGTCTGCTCGATGGCTGGAGGTGCAGGTGGCATGAGAGAGAGAGAGGAGAGGGACTCGCTGAGAAGCAAGGTCCACGTCCAGGCTGCAGTACAAAACAGTACATGAGCGAGAGCGAGAGAGAGAGAGAGAGAGAGAGAGAGAGAGAGAGAGAGAGAGAGTCTGCAGTGTAGTGGGCCGCGTACGGTTGGTTGCATGCTGTATCTTGTGTATTTACAAACGGGAAAGGATCTGAAAGGGGAGACCGCGACATGCACGCGACGTGCAGGACTCTAGTCTCCGGCAGGGCTGCCACCACGGCCAGCTAGTACAGCTCGACCGGCCCCGTCTTCCTGTGGAAGCTCCGCGTCGGCCGCGGCCGCTTCCCGTGCGCGTGTTTGTCGCGCAACCGCTCGTGGAAGCAAGGCGCCGGAAGGCCTGCCGCCGCGCGGCTTACGCCGGCGCCCGTGCGGCGGTGTGCCTCGCGCCCAACAGGACGCATCCCTCGCCGCTGCCTTTGGGACTCCACCAAAAAGTCTCCCACTCCCGCCTCTCCTCAAATCCACCAAGTCGAGCCGTCAGCTCTTTGTACCGCATGATGCAGTTACACGCACGCACGTGTATACTCAGTCTGTTGATCCGCATGGCTGAGCTCCCCCAACCCTCACAGTGACGCGCGTCAATGCTCAGCCTCGGCCACTCTCCACGCGGGCGCGTCAGGCGGCCGCCGTGCGCCCCTTCTGCAGCTCCGCCACCTGGTCGAGCGCGTCGCCGAGCAGCCCCTTGGCCACGCCGAGGTCGCGAAGCTGCTCCACGCCGCCGCTCGCGCGCACCTCGGCGGCGTGGTCGGCCACGAAGCGGCGGCACTGCGCGAGGAGCCGCCCGTCGCCCGTCGTGTGCGCCGCCTCGAGCAGCGGCACGGCGCTCGCCGGCCCGACGCTCTCCTGCAGCGCCTGTGCGCAGAGCAGCTCGAGGCGCGGCACCTGGTACTTTTGCGCCAGCTGCCGCAGGTCGAGCGCGCGCCGCGCCTGCTCGCCCTCCCCCTCGCCGAGGTCGAGCTGGTCGGTGAGGAGGTAGCGGACGAGGGCGGTGAAGCTGGCGAGGTCCGTTTCGAGCACCGTGACCTCGGCGGCGTCGCGCTCCTTCATGCCGATGCCGAACATCGTCCGAAAGAACACGGACCGCACACGCAGAGGTTGTTCTTGCTCACGTGCTCGAGGCGGACGGCGGCGGCGGTGACAGTGAGGTCGAGGGAGGCGGCAGCGAGGGCGACGCGGACGGCGGCGGCGGCGACGGCGGGGCAGAGGGCGGCGGCGGCGACGGCGGCAACGGCGGAGAGACTGGTGGGGCCATCTGGCCAGGAGAAAGAGGCGGCGGGGATGGCGAGGCCGACGGCGGTGACGGCGACGGTGAGGCGGAGGGAGGCGGCGGCGACGGCGAGGCGGACGGCGGCGGGAGCGACGGAGATGCGGACGGCGGTGGCGGAGATGGCGAGGCGGACGGCGGCGAGCGAGAGGTTAATCTCAGGTGGGGCGCCCGCCGGCCCCCGTCACGCGCGCATTTATAGCGGGGGCGTGATCGACGTGGGCAATTCGAGAGACAGTGGGGCGATGACTGGGGGGGCTCGGGCCGGCTCACTTGTCTGATAGACTTATGAAAAACTCAGACCGACTGACAGACGTACGCGAGCCCAAGAGAGGGAGGTGTCCATCACGGCACATCAGCGGCGCCGCCCCGTCTCGACCACCTCCCACGCACGTGCTTTTGGATCGACACGGCCGCCGCGTCCTGCTCTCGCGCCGCCCGCTCCCGCTTGAGCCGGTGCGCCCGCCCCAGCATCAAATAGCGCGAGTAGGAGAAGGAGGCAAGCGACGCGCCGAGCAGCAATCCGGCGGCGCCGCCCAGCACAAACTGCAGGGGCGTCAGAAGCTCCTATGGACCCAACCGCGCACACACCGCGTGAGTTTACCTCGTCCACTACCTGCGCCTGCGACCTCTCTGCTCGCCTCGCTCGTTCCCTGCACGCGCATTGCAAGCAGCTCGATGCGCCAAGCCCCCGCGAGGAGCGAGAGCCACGCTTCGGCGAATTCACGCGCGAATGCTGAGTCCCCCGGGGGCTCGTCGGCAGCGGCAGCAGCGGCAGCAGCGGCAACGCTGCCGCCGAGGACGGCGGAGGCGTTGCTGCATTGAGCGCGGCCTAGTCGGACGAGGTCACCGAGCTGCGAGCAGTCGAGCCGAAAGCGGTCGGCGTCGAGGCCGGCCCGAAAAGGGGGCGCATTGACAAGCCGGACCTGAGCCGGGAGAGGGCTGCGTCGACGACGAGAAGGCACGGTCCAAACAATGAGCGGAGAACCGCTAGGGGCCACACACTCCGATCCACATCGCAAACGACGCCTCTTGACACGCTACGTCGACTGGCGCGTCCGCATTCCTCCGGGCTGCGGCCACGGATGCGTAGGCATCGCAGAGGTCCGAGGTGTTCAGCGAGGACGACTCCATCAGCGCCTGCAGCAGAGGCTTAGGTCGGAGTGACCGCGGGCCAGTCTTGCTGCCAGGGGGGGGGGGGGGGTAGCTCGAGTGAAATGGTCATAGGCGTCGTGGGTATGGCTAGGGGGCTCACGGCGCCCACCGTCGCATTGAGCGGCCCCTCGAGGTCGTTCTGCGAGAGCGGCCAGTCCAGCGCGCCAGAGAGAGCCGCCGCGCCATCCGCGGCCCGTCGACCACAATACTCGCCGCCGTAGCCAACGGCGAGGGCGAGACACGCGAGCGTCAGCAGGATAGCCGTCAGAGCCGTGACGGCAACCAGCAGCAGGTAGACGCAAGCCTTGTAAGTGCCGGCGCAGCAAGATCCGCACCTCTGACCGCGCGAACTGCCCCGGCGGCAAGTGCAGCTGTCGAGGCACCGCTCCGTCTGTCCGTTGTGCGCGTAGATGGCCCTCCGCATCACGACGCCAAAGCAACAGACGAGAAGTATGACGACTGCGCACACCACCACCGCCACCGCCGCGGCGGCGATGATTGGAGTCAGCTGTATGTTGAGCGGCGACGGTGGAGGCAGGAGCAGTGGAGGATCTACCGAGCGGAGGCAGCGGTGGCAGCGGCATTTGCATGCTGGCCGGCATCGGAGGAGGGCTAAACGGGATGATGCTGGGATCCTCGTCCGGGTCCGGGCCGACCCGCGAGCGGGCGATGGGCTTGAGACGGGACACCATTGCTGCTTCCGGCAACGGTTACAGACAGGGGGCCACCCGTTCTTCAGCTCACAGAGACCTCGCGGGCGAAGGGCTGTGCTGAAGGCACAAAATATACGGCCCGGGCAAACCGCGGTCCGCGTGCTAGTCGCGGGCTGATTGACTGATTGGAAGGTGAAGATTGGTACGGTAAACATCTCCATCTGTGGAGGGAGGCAGCGAGCGCCAGCTGCTCCTGGAGTCTAGCAGTAACTAAGGCGGCTGGCGGTGGGCACACACACTCACACTCACGGTGGGGCGGGGGGGGGGGTAGGGCGGATCGTACCATACCCCGCAAAAAGTCCGAACCCAGGAATAGAGCTCAGGGGCCGCGCGGTCAATGGGCAGCCTTCCCGACGAAGTCACCGATGCGGCTGGGCGAGGCGACGAGGCGGCGCTGCTGGCGTGGCTTGACAGCGACGGGCAGGTCAACGCGACTGGCGGGGTAGGCAATGTGAGCGGTGTCACCGTGCTGATGCTGTCCGCCGGCAAGGGCCACGAGCGGATGGTCGAGCTGCTGCTTCAGCGAGGCGCGGAGATCAACCTACAGAGCAGCAGCGGCGGCACCGCGCTGATTGCCGCCGCCCATGAGGGTCACGAGCGGGTTGTCGACCTGCTGCTGCAGCGAGGCGCTGAGCTCAACCTGCAGAACAGCAACGGCATCACCGCGCTGATGCTCGCCGCCGCCAACGGCCGCGAGCGGGTGATCGAGTTGCTGCTGCAGCACGGTGCGGAGGTCAACTCGCAGGACAGCAAAGGCATCACCGCGCTGACATACGCCGCCAGCCAAGGCCACCCCGCAATCGTGCTCCGCCTGCTGCGTGCGGGCGCAGACGCGGCGCTGCGCTCTGAGGACGGCAAGTCCGCGCTGCAGTTTGCCAAAGAGAATGGCCACGCCGCGTGCGTCGAGGCCTTCCGGCAGCACGTCGCGAAGGTGACTGCGATCCAGCGCGAGGCGGCGGCGAGAGGGGCGGGCGGCGCTTCCTCGGGCGAGGCGGCGGCGGGAGGGAGTGCGGCGGCCTCTTCTAGCTCGCTGGGCAGCCTTCCCGAAGAGGCTGCGACAGCAGCTCTCCAAGGCGACGAGGCGGCGCTGCTGGCGTGGCTCGACAGTGGCGGGAGGGTCAACGCGACTGGCGGGGCAGGCAATGTGAGCGGCATCACCGCGGTGATGCTCGCCGCCAGCAGCGGCCACGAGCGGGTGGTCGATCTGCTGCTGCAGCGCGGCGCAGAAATCGACATGCAGAGCATTAGTGGCGGCACCGCGCTGATGGGCGCCGCCCAGCAGGGCCACGAGCGGGTGGTCGATCTGCTGCTGCAGCGCGGCGCTCAGGTCAACCTGCAGACCAACAGCGGCGAGACCGCGCTGATGGGCGCCGCCGGCAAAGGCCACGAGCGGGTGGTCGAGCTGCTGCTGCAGCCCGGCGCGGAGGTCAACCAGCAGAACAGCCGCGGCGTCGCCGCGCTGATGCTCGCCGCTTACAGCGGCCACGAGCGGGTGGTCGACTTGCTGCTTCAGCGCGGCGTGGAGGTCAACCTGCAGGACAGCGTCGGCGGCACCGCGCTGATGGGCGCCGCCGACCAAGGCCACCCCGCCGTCGTGCTCCGCCTGCTGCGGGCGGGCGCGGATACGAAGCTGCGCTCTGAAAGCGGCAAGACAGCGCTGCAGCATGCCAAGGAGACTGGCCACGCCGAGTGCGTGCGCGCCCTCGAGGAGCATGCGGCGGCGGAGGCGGCGGCGGAGGCGGAGATGAGGGAGGCGGTGAGAGCGGCGGCGGAGGCGGAGGCGACGCGGCATGCCGAGGCGCTACTTGCGGGGGAGGAGGCGGAGAAGGAGGCGGGGGAGCGCACCAAGGAGAGCAAGAAGGGGAAGAAGAAGAAGAAGGGGAAGGGCGGCGGGGGCGGTGCTGGGCCATCGCAGGAGCCCGAGGATGAGGCAGCGCTGGCGACGGGAGAGGAGGCGGAGTTGGCGGCGGCGCTCGAGGAGAGCGCGAGGCTGGTGGAGGAGAGGCGGGCGGCGGAGGAGCAAGGGTCGTCCTCTTTGGCTGCAGAGTCGCCGGCTCCGAGGGAGGAGGAGCCGCCGGCCGACTTCATCTGCCCGATCACGACCGAGCTCATGAGCGACCCGGTGCTGGCGGCGGACGGGCATGCCTATGAGCGGTCGGCGATCGAGCGCTGGCTCGCGACCAAGTCGACGAGCCCGATGACGGGCGAGGAGCTCGAGCTCACTCGGCTCTTCCCCAGTCACATCCTGCGCCGTCAAATTCGAGAGTGGCGAGAGGCGCATCCAGGGCGGTAGACAGCGTAGAGAAGAAATCACATGGAAACCAGGGCGGGTGCCAAAATTCTTTATCATATACTATTTAATAAATAGACACAACGAATGTTGCCCTCGAGCCTCGACCTTACTTATACTCTTTGAGCTGTGGGACGCGAAAACCGCAATCGATGTTTTGCGCGCGGGTTTTCCTCGCTGCACTGACAGCGCAGCGAGGAGCCGTTGTTACATCGCTCATCGGTTCGGTCGATCCACGTCGTTTTTTGTTGGTACGACTAATTTTATTTCCTCCCGACGAGGGTCGAGGCGCCATCCGACGAATGAATGGCGCCCTCATCTATTAGTATCAACATTGATTGTCTGCAGTCTGGCGGCCCGCGGTGGTGGCGGGGCGGCGAGGGCGGGTGTGGCCGAACGTTGCTCACTCTGAACTTCTGCAGCTAATGGAAGTACTCGAGTAGCAACCACCGCTGGGCTCATGAGGAGCGGCGCGCAGCGGCGGTGCGTGCGACGCCGTGGCCGCAGAGAGCGCGGCTGCCGCACACGTCTCGGTGGTCGCGTCGCCTCTGGCGATCAGCTCGAGCGCGCCTTCTTGGAGGGCGGCTCCGGCGCCGCTCTTCGCGCCGTACGGCGAAAAAGAATTCGGCGCAGCGCGCCCGCGCGCTGCCGGCCCCGGCAAGCCGCACTCATGTGCGACCCCTTCCCCGCCGAAGAGGCGGCGACCGGCACCATCTTCCGCTGCAAGTTCCCGGGGTGCCTCCGCAGCTACGGGAGCACTGACGCCGCGCGAAAGCACGCGCGGAAGACGCACCCGGACTGGCTCAAGCTGGCGGACGCCGCGGCGGCGAAGCGGGTTCGGGGCGGCCCGTCGACAAAGTCGTCCTTCTACTGCGCCCGAGAGGAGGCGCCCCTCCTCTCCCCCTCCTCCGCCGTGCCAAACGGCGGCCTGCTGCGGCTTGACTCGGCTCTCGAGCGGCTTGACGGTGAGGGGGCTTGCGGCGGAGAGGGAGAGGCGGCGTGGGGGGCGATCAGCGGCGGCGCGGACGCCGCATCGGCCGCAGACCCGCCCGCAGGCTCGCTCGCCGCGACCGCCGCGTTTGGCGACGCCGCTGCGCCCCCCTCCTCCGCCCCCGGGCTGCCCTCTAGCCTGCCCTCCCTCTTCAGCTTGGGCGACGGGGCGGGCTGGGGTGCGGGGGCGCCTGCGTGGGCGTGGCCCGAGCCGCTCCCGCCGCTCCTCGGCGGCGTCGGGGTCTGGAGCGACTCTCCGGGCGGGTGGGATGCCCTGCCCGCAGACCGAGTGGCAGACTCGTTGTCCTTGCCAGCCTCCCCCGCCCCCGCCGACTCCTCCGCCATCGCCGACGCCGCATCCGCCGTTCTCGCCGCCTCCGCCGCCTCCGCCACCGCGTCGCTCCTTGGCGCGCTGCAGGGCAGCCTGCTGCTGGACAGCACGCAGCAGCCGCCTCCTCTCCTCTGGTCGCTGCTCGCGGCAGGAGCGGCGAGGACCTTTGCGTCGGAACAGGCGCCCCCCCCCCCCCGCGA